CTTTTATAAGTCAAACTCGAAGATAAAACTATTAAACTGTATGCTCTAGACTCTAGACGTTGTCAGACGAAGTATTACACAGTGAATGTTTTATCAGCACAACAGAGTTTCGAACTCTCCCTTTGCAAGCCAGCTACTTTCAAAAAGATGTTATAAACTCAATGGAAAGAAATGTAACTTAGCTTTTTCCAGAAGCGCAAGAGAATCGACATGGATATCGCATTTTACAACTTCAAAAATATAATTTATATTTAACTTACGAAAAGAAGTTATATACATGAAAGCACATAACAAGATATTTCAATTTACTTTATAAAACACTATTCTATATTAATTGAACATATATATTATTTTAGCATACTTCTATAATCTAGAGAAATATTTTCTGGAATTAGTGGTAAAAATAAAACGGAACGGAAAGTTGAATTATTAATTGAAGTTGGCTTATTCATTCGTAAATATCTCGCTCTTAATGCGAAAAAGTAATTAACTATATCGTTGTACATTGGTATAACATTTATGTATATCAATAATACATCGAATTAGTGCATTCAGTGTGCATGAAACGATCGTTCATTTCAATTCACTGCACGTTCGGGCGAAATTGTTCCAGCGCAGAAAAGATGGCAGTATCGAATCATCATCGACGACATTATCTGTGTTTGTCGTTGGATTTAAAATGAGAGAGAAAAGGAGAGGATTAGGGAAAAAGGAGAGAGAACAATAAAAAAGATAGAGAGAAAGCATAGCTTCGTTTGCAATCGACAGCGAAACCATTAATCAGCGCAAACCTGATTAAGAGTCGTGATACGTCGACCTCATCGCCCTATATTCTCTTGTTCTCTATCCTTCTCTCTATTTTATGAATCTCTTAAGAACCCGAACATTTGGGATTTAATTTAATCTAATTTACTTTTTTTTTACAATCATCATACTGCTTCGTAGTGATGTAATTGAAACATATTTAGAATATCATCGGGTAATTTAAGTATAAACTGCGGCAAATTATAAAACAAGGATGATTTTTGAACGAGCAAAATGTTCTCTTGAAAATTGAGGTTTATATTGTCAGATTTGTAATTATAATCTGAGAAAGAAGAGAGAGGGAAAAATGGAATAAAAAGTTATAATTTTTTTTTAAAGGATAATAGAGAGATAGATTCATAAAATAAAAAAGTATATTACGTATGTGTATATGTTAATAAAAATATCATATTGCACATTATATAAAACGATTCTAAAACTTATTTCTCGAAGTAAATCGAATCGTAAAAATTTTCACGAATAAAAATTTTCTGGCTATAACAGATGGTCACGAGTTCACAGCTTTTCCGGATCGAAGACGATTCTTGGTCGTCACGAGAAGCATTTTTGCAGCTTTTTTGTAGAAAAAAGTTAGACTATGTGCAAACGGCAAAGAGGTTTCCGACGCTCGTCGGGGTCATGGGCGATGCCATCGAGAAGATTTACGATCGTAAAACATACTTTACTTCTTGGGACAATTCAGCAAAAATTCACATACTGGCATATGTATAATACGATTTATGAGTTTTCATGATATTTTCATATTTGTTAACATTGCCCATTGTCAAATGGAAAATTTATGCGATCACACTTTTTTTTTATTTCGCTTCTATAATTAATGATGTAAACCAGAATATAAAATATTATCTCTCTCTTTTTCTTTCTCTTTTTAATTGTAAGTTGACCATAAAATCTCAATGTATAGAGCGTAGATATAAAGTTGTGATATTTTGCGATTACATTCATATCCATGCCAATAATAGTATCTATGACGTAAATACGATATTGAACGAATAATTAAAATTACTATTTGCTCAGAGACATAAAAAATACACGTTCCAACGACCGGTAGATAACAAATGCAAAAACAATTACTTGCGGTAAACGATATCAAAATAAAATGCTGAATAGGAAGAATAATAAATATTTCGTCAAAACAGCAACAGGAAAATATAAATATGGAATGAAAAAATACAACGTGCATATTTATTTTTTTTTTTTTATCTACAATAATGTGAAGCAAAAGTACTAGTGCTTCACTAGAATAACCCTATTTTTTTGCTTTCTGGATACAAGGAAAACTTCTAAAATCTTTCTTTCGATCTTTTCATTCCGCGTTATATGTTACATGGGAATATATATATATATCTTTAAAGAAACTTGAACAGGCATCTAAAAAGAATAATTTTAAATAACTTTTTTACTGCACTTTGATATGTGTGTGTATGTGTTTGGAATAATATATCTTTAATAAAGTATTTTCAATCTGTATTTGTATTTTGCTACTTTTTATTTTGGCAGTAAAATGTATTGCGATTTAAATTCTTCAAGAAATTAATTCATTCTTAGAATTTGTAGTTTACTGCCACGTCACGATTTTGTAAAATGTGTTCTTTTTAAGTGCTTTTATTGCATATGAATAGTTCAGTTTTACAATGGAGCGCGCGATTGCTTTGCCTTGGTATATCGAATGTATTTCTCTTTGCTTTGTAGCGATTAAATTAATTGTTTTGATTGTAAAATTCATTTATTTATATTTATTATAGTTTGCACTGTTTGTTAAAAAGTTATGCGATGTTGAAAAAATTTTTTAACGATAATTATCAGAGAATCGTGTGTATACGAAGAATCGTGTGTGTACTAATTAATGATTAAATATTATTTGAATAAAACGCTTAAATATATTAAGTGCGCGTTAAAGAGATTTATAAAATTTTTGTTCTATTATTACAAGTATTCCAAAATATGAGCAGATACTTTAAATTTATTTGTAAATATATATAGTGTATGCCATAGTTGCTATTTTATTCGTATAGGCAATTAAGCATAATTGTTATTTCTGCACAAATAGTATTGATTAATGCCCATATAAATTTAAACAATTATATCTCTTTGTTAGCCCCTTAAATGAATTATTTATTATCTCACAGAAGAGTTATATACTCTCGATAAATAAAATTGCCGTTATTCATATATTCACGACTTATAGCATACTCTGACATATTCAGAACGAGCTTGAGTACAAAATGAGCTTGTGTAGCAGTATAGTACAAGCATAAGATGTCCTTCAAGATGTCGTCTTAGATCGCAAGTTGATCTTAAAATATGTCAGGTTTATTTTACTCCGATGATCTTGAAAAGAAATTTTATAGTGGCATTTTATTAATATAGCATAAAATTTAAGTCTTGTGTAAAATTTATAATTTTTTCAGTTATAAATTTCGAATTCTCACTTATGTCGCGACCACTCATATATTTCGTTAGCTCTCGTCTGCATCTATGTATTTAACGCCTAACAAATGTTGCACGATCTTGTTGGCTTTTGTTCGAGGGTTGTCTCACTGTCGCAATACATGTACATTTTTTTGGAATTATTTACTCATTATTCCGCATTACATCATATTTGCATTACGCCGCATTACTTTGCATTGATTTACAAGTCCTATAGCATAAAACAATAATAACCCAGACAAGATTGAAACGTCTTAAAAAGTAAAAATGATGTTGTTATGACATCTTTAGAACGTCTTTTAGATACGCGTGAATAATTCTCTGAGAATCCAATTTATGATTATTTATCAATATTTCAGATAAATAGATAATAACCGCAAAAAAATAATTTTTTAAATTTAATAAAATAAATTAGAAATAAGATTGGTAAGAATTGTTGGTAAGAAAATTGACACTACGTTGGTTTTTTGCTTCAAAATGCGGCCGACTGTCTACAGATGTATTGTTACGAGTAAGAGAGATGTCCAGAGAAATTTCATCTAAAACTAGAAAGAAATAAATAAAAGGAGTGCCAATTTAAGGGACAATAAACAAAAAAAAAACTCAAAATAATGATCTTTCATCTGAAAAAAGTACGTCTTCTATAGTTGAACTCGAATGTGAATTGTTGCATAACTTAGAATTACACGGCGCATTACATGGAATTACTTGAATTTCCCATAAGGTAATTCGCAATACATGTATAAATTTTTGGTGAGTGAGACATCTCTCGCTTTTGTTTCGGATCGAAAGAGCCGTTGATGCAATGTCGGGGAGTTGAAGCACGTTCCGACGAACATCACGTTGTCTCCGCGAATCGCGAAAAGGAACACGTAGACGGTATTAAAGGTTAGATAGAAGTAACTGGATAATAAATTTAAACCTTCACTCCCAGGGACATACTCTTTAGCTATGAAAACTTTGAAGGTTGACCCAACATTTTTAACGATATTTAAGCATGAGTTTATAACATGCGATGAGTTATCCGAGCATCTTTTTCGTGTGATAAATACTTATTTATATCGATGTATATTGTACTACGTGTGAGGAGTTAAATTAATTTTGTATCTATACATGTCTAATGATATTTTTGAATATAATAATTGTTGAAAACTATAGAAACTCTGTTATTTTCATAAAATAGCTCCGTTAATCTGATATTCCTACCACGAGACATTACGATATATAATTGTGTTTAATTTGGTGTTCTACTCTCCATTTTATAATATTAAATAGCAGAAAGTTTATATTAAAGATATATCTTGAATTTATCTCTGGTATATATGTCGAGAGCAAATAATTCGGAGAATATTTTTTAGTGTCATATAATCAAAAGAAAAATTAATTGCATAAAGTACCTTAATATTGTAGCATATTTTATAACGCATTTTCTATTATTTTTAAACTTATTTCGCGAGCAATAAATTCGGGATTGGAACAATAAATTAACAATAAACTAACTTAATAATGCTAGACATCTAAATCTAATTTTTTGTGGTGATAATGGATTCAAAAAATTGAAGCAGTTTTTAATCTGTTATACGTATGTAATGAATTAAAGATGACTAGAGATAGACATCATATTACATTAAGAAAACATTGAACTATCGCATGCTATTTTGACAAATCATGCTTCGTCAGACATACCGGCGAAATGAACATTATCGATTAATGCTTCAATTAATGCGCGAGTCATTTTCACTCACCTTCCATGGTCATATTATCTCCGAGCTTTATTTCGATAGAGCTGTCCTTTCTTCTGCACGTTCATGCGCCGCTCATTAAACGCTCGTTAATAGGATTGGTCGATTGTGGTTGTCCAAGTTTCATTTTGTTCTTGCTTCTTTACACTTAATTTTGGTCTCGATTTAATTACTCTGCTCGACGAACTTTGTTTATCCGCGAACACTTGTCGATTTGTCGCGAACACTTATCACTTGCGTGCAATCTTGACACGGATTATAATTAATGTTTCTCCTCGGACTTGTAAATCGAACAATTCTTTCCGCGATTAAACTCATTGCTAAATAGTTCTATTTTGATTTTCCTCGCGTAATAAAATTATCGCTTTGCGAGATTAGATCTTTGAGTTCTTCCTGCCGAGTACATTTCGGATTTATCGTCGATAATGTTTGGAAGGGACGCTTCGTTTGTTTCTGAAAAAGAACAAAAATAGACGTGCATTAAAGTTTCAATATTAATTAGCGAGAGATTGCAGAACTTGAAACGTGAAAAATTAATTTTAAAAGATGTTGATCATGTAATAAATTATATTTGAAAAACAAAATTTGCTTATTAAATGCTTTGTAATTATATTTAAGTAATATAATTCACACACACCACATACACACATAACGAAAACTCTGCCCACACTATATATACTTGATAAAACAATGCCGTATAAATGTTAAAGAGCAACTTGTACTGACGGTTGATAGACTAGGATAATAACCATAATACAGTAATTCAGGAATTTCACATATGCACATCTATATCGGATATTAACAGTTCAAAGCCAAAGTTATGTGGCTGTTGACCTTTCGAGCAGGATAAGGAATTGATTATGATAGGAGACGCAGGTGTTTAGGAAGAAAATATAGCTCACGCGCCGACAAGATAACGTTATTGCTTTTGATATATCAGTCATATCGGCGTCATGAAAGTTATATCTCGAGAAAAGTTAACTGTTTTCCTGCCTTCCTCGCTGCTGCTAATGCGGCAGTTAGACGGATGTTGTCACATTCTGCAACTTTCGCAAATTTTCAATAAAAAGTGCAAGACTGCATTTGCTATTTTGTGGAGATTAAAACGCGAATCGCACAGTTATCTCTCTCTTATCTTTAAATAAACTGCACATATATTAAGAAAAGAAAATTTATACAATGTTAAAGTGGAAACGTTTCGATTTTAATCATTCCATTCTTTCGTTCGCATTAACAGATCGATTTTCTGAGTTATATTTCGAATAGTGCGTTGACAATATAATCAAAGAATTTATGTCGAGTGCATATCGTAATAGTAAAGTTAGGCGGAATAGGCCGCATTTCATCCGTACGTATTGCGTAACCTGCTGGAGCACCTGAGGATTGCTATCCCTACGTGTTACATGATCCTCTCGAATGTACTGAGAAGCATAACATAACGCAATTGTATTCTGACAATTCCAACGTGCTTCCTACCACTGGATGTTACAATCCTATCTCGTATCGCGTTCGTAACACGAGATTACGATATACCCGCTCTCTCGTGCGATAATTATCTCGGGATTAATATTTACCGGCGTCAATGGCGCATGCAAAAATTGCATTATCGGAAGTTATTAATCGAATAATTTTGGAACGTTTAATAAAACAATGGAAATAATATTATGCGCATTAATAGAGAGCAAAGAGGTTTATTACATTCTACCTTTGTCGAGTCACATACACGATTTCAAAATGGATATTTAATTTAATTTAATTTTTTATATGAAATTAACAACAGTAGCATAAATAATTGTTAATCGATATTACAATTGTAATAAAACGGTCGTACTTGGAATATTTAATACAATGACTAATATAAATTATAATTGATAAAATTCATTACATAACTTTTGGTTTTTTTGCAAAAGATTTTGCAAATATAAACTAGCAGGATGCTGAGAGAAACTATGAAAGACCCCAATGGAGCTTTAGAGCCATAATTCTCTCTGGCGCTTTAATTTTGCACTTAATAGCTTTACTTATTGTTAGTATATTAGATTACTGTGTGCAACGTTGAACTATTATACAATGTTGCGTTATTCCTGCTTGTGGAAATAGCTAGAGCAAAATATATCTGCACGTAAATGGACAATAAACATAATTCACGTATTATCTTTAAACTACAGAATCACAATGGCTGTTCTACTTTCGACTCACATTTATACATATAACCGTTATTCTTCGATTCCCTGGTGCCGTAGAAAAACATTGGATGTCGTATTTCTAATGTAAATTACTTTTGAGATACGATATTTTTCTAGCTTTAGCTAAAAAATAAAAAAAAAAGATTGATTGCACTTCTAATTTAACTGTCTTTTAAAGAATATTGTTTTTGTTCTCCTATAATTCATTTTACGATATTTTAATTTTATATATATTATATAATATAATGAGGCCTCTTGTGTATAAAAATAAATAGCCATAACAAAAAATTAGAACGATATCTAATAAATGATAAGAGTATTTGAACAATATCTTGAAAAAGCTTACTTTTTTATGGAATAATTGAATTAAAAATAATACCCAATATAGTTGACCCAATCTTTACGTTAGAATTTTACGAGAAATTTTTGGGATGTTATTAAATTATCTCTTTCCAAAAATATTGATAAACACATATATATTTATATTGACTCTCAGTATATTGACTCTACAAACAATACACTATTCTTTGAACCGTGATCGAAAAATTGCAGTTGCTCTATTTACAGGAACGAAAGAGAAATGAAAAATATACGATATAAAGGCAACATTATAAGTTTCAAATTTGAAAGCAACACGAAAAGTATCTCGGCAAGAATGAGATTTGAATAAGATTTATAAATAGATGGCAGTAAAATTTTCCTTGTTCTTTTGCAATATATCAATTCAAAAATATCTAAAATTTCTACAAGAACATAAGACTGCATTCAGATTTTCATCAAAATGAGTGAGCACGAATGGAGAGACTTCCAATTTTGTCATTGCTTATATAAATCTCCTCGAGCGTTATTCGTATCAAAGGACCAAATCCGTTTGCCTCTTCACTCGTCTACTCTCGACGTTGCTTTGATGTACCGACGATAACTATCTCTTCGCAAATAGCTGATGTAGCATTTGACGTGATGCAGTGGAACTCTATTTCCACATTTTACTTTTGGTAAATTTACGCCATTATCTGCGATTATCTCACAAACTCGCATTTATTTTATACATAGTCTATTGCTTCAGTCTTCGCGCGAATTACTAAATATATATCAATGGAGAGAAAGCCGAGAAACGATCAATTATCTAAAAAACAAAATTGAATATTTTAAAGTTTTGATTTCATAAGAAAGATTAGGCGTAAAACCAAGATTATAGTAATTGCACAGAAATAACAATTTTTATTTTCTAAAATAAAGCTGATAGTAAAAAAATATATAATAATAATATATTTTATATTTTTTGAATATTCTTATTTCTCAAAAAACGTTTTAATTGCAAATTTTGATATTAAGATCAAGTCGTTCTATTATCAAGAGAGAAAAGAGATTTTTATATGCATATAAATATATTGCGCGAGCTATCTCTTTCATACATATTTAAGTAAATGTAAATTTAGTCATCCAGAGCTATCGGAATTGTGAATCTATCCATAACATATATATTGTAATTGTCGAGCACAAATTTATATTAAATGCATGGGATATTATTATACTGGAATATAAGGTAATATTATACTGCATAGGATATTATTATACTAGAGAACGCGCATAGGAAAGTTTTATCAACCGTCGTATATTTGTGTTAAGTCAGAACGGAGAATATCTACATGTGTATAGTCACGTAGTTTGTTATATAGTCATCGATTATATCGCCTCAATGTACAATGATATCTGGTGGTGGAAACGATTACAGAGAGATGATCGAAGTTGGTAACATGTATTTAAATGAGAAACTTGCTTACGTCACGGCGACGTGAGGCGCTATAATTCGATTGCGCGCACGCTATCACGTGTTTAAATTAGAGAAAGGGTCGAGTTTAAAGAGATAGCTGTGCGCCCGTTTCCAGAACGGATGTATGTATATTCGACTGTGGTATATATTTGCTCGCGGCCTGTGTTTGTCTCGTGCGGTTGCATTACCTGTCCAGCTTTGACATAAACGCGGTTTCTGTAAGTATGCTTTTGCAGCCTCGAATAATTCATATCTCCCATCCCAAGCACAAAGAGCTGCAATAATATATGCTATAATTACGCAATATCGTTTCGAGAAACTAACTCTGTATATTTTTTGATCGAAAATATTCATTATGTATTTGATTTATATTCTACATACAAATGTATCTGCTCTTTGATATGTCTTTACTCGGTTTTAATTTAGAAATTTAATATATTTTAAAATATCTCGTAATTTTAATTTTTGAAGAGAAAACCTTGACATGCAATCGTGATTAATCGCAATCGAGACATAATAGAATTCTAGTGTTTTTTTTTTCTTTTTTGTTCAACGATATAAGTATATATTTAGATACATCTTCATTTTAATTTCAATTGCCATAAAAACATCACAATGAATCTAGTAAACTCATTTTGGCAATCTAAAAGAAGATAAATAAAGACGAATTGAAATACAAATGTGGAATGGAGAATAGTGAATAAGAAAAGAAAGCCGCGTATAATCGGACACGGACACGTGGAAAGCCGGAGTCCAAGTTTACATGTACGATGCATGGCGTATGTGTCCCAGCCGGCTGTGCTCTTGCTTCTGGCTCTATCGATTTAGGACGACTCAACGTAACCGCGACAACCAGTCGACTTGTATATACACGGCCTCTTTCGTGTTATGCCCATCCTTTATTACGCAATTGCAAGAAGCTCCTAAGGTTTACGATGCCTTATTATCGTTTTTCCGAACTTTGACCGCGCTCTCTTTATTTCGTTTTGCTTTGTACCTGTTGATGAATCGACGACGTGCGGTTGAAAATAAATTGATTATACCAATCACGGAATTTTTTGAATTATTGTTACAGGATGTATCTTTCACGATGAGGATTAATTAATAAGAACACACGATATGTGTAGTAATAGTGGATCGATATGAGTTGAATAATGTATGTATCATCATCAGCGTCTCGCGGTAATAATGTCGGCACAGTTCCTCTCGCGAACTGTAATAAACTCTAATGAGATTTAATCGGCTACAGTTCTATGCATGGCTGATTCTTATTACGGTTCATTATGAAGTTGCGCGTGCAATTCCGTACAAGGATCGTCTCGTGATGAAACACGCGCCAAGAAAGAAGACACGGAAGTACGCGAAACTGTCCTTGACGAAACCGTGCTTATCGATTTTCCCGAGTATCTTATTTGATTGAAGAGCACAAGCACATCCTTTTGAAGATGCGGAAATTGACTTTTTTCACGATTTCGCCAGTTGTTAAACTTAAATACTTGTTTTCATAACGGTATGACTACATATTATGCGCAGTTGGTATAATTAATATTATTGTCATTAAGAATTGATAAAAATGTACCGTATGCTTTAGAAAACAAAATGTTATCCAGGCAATGCTGTTTTTGAAATTTTAAGGCGGATTCTTCTCAAATTAAAAAAACAGAACTTTTATATTAAAAATATAATTAAAATTAAAATTTAGTGGTTCTTATAAAATAAACTTTAGGTTGTGCGAATTATAATATATATATCGTCAATTTGATGTTTAGTTACAAATACATTTAATTTCAAAAATTTAGAAATATTATGTAAAATAATAATTATGTTTTTATCTTTAAAGCTATATACACAATTAGAGATAATAGTGGTTTTCTTCTCTTACAATTTTACATTATAATAAATTGGATTGTTCGGAAAGTTTTATAATTTTTTTATCTAAGAAATATATAAGATAAAAAAAAAATATGACTAATTAGAAAAATTTTCCAATCAGTTTATTATTTTCAATGTTTTTGCTTTTGATAATCTTTGGACAATTTTAACAAATAGATTGCCAAATTATTTTGTTTCAAAGAGAAGCTCGAGGTATATAATTATCTTCAAGCTCCAATTGTGCGTTGTGAAACTCTGCTACGAACTTGTCCAGACTTCCTACGTAAACGGGGAATTATGCGGGCACCCATAATATACATATATATAATCTTGCTTGTCTCGGATAATAACGAAATAACGAACATGAAGGGCCGAAGTGGCGTCAGCAAAGTGGAGAGATGCGGCGCCTGCGCGAATAATAATTGTGTTGGTAAAGAGATGTTGTCGAGGTGTAATTGACTGATTAAGAGGTAATGGGACACACCTATGTTAGATTCGCAACGCAGATCGAATCGCACAATCCGAAACTGAGCGCGGGATTACACCACTTCCCCGATTCGCCATTTATCACCACCGCATAATAATGTTGCGTAATCGAGCCTACAATGTTCGAGTCGATTATACCTCCGAGCATATATATAGGAAGAATATATTCCTGCGATTTTAATTATACGTTTAACAATAAGCGAAATAATAAAATAAGTAAAATGTCAAAGACGAATTTTTTATAAAAAATTTTAATGGAAGACAATGAAAACAAATATGTATGTATATTTTTCTTTTAGCATAAAAAAGTTGTTATATCTTCTTTCATCATAAATTCAAGAAATCATTAAGAAAATGGCTACTTTAGTTTGATAATAGTTCCACTTTTTTATTATTAATGGATGGGACGGATATTAGTGAGGCAGAAACGTCGCGATGCTCGAAGGAGACAGTAAAATTGACATTGAAGTCGACTAATATCTTCCGTGATACCAATCGAATGCTGTTCTTCAATTATCAATGAATTACGTCACGTAGCCTGTTGCCATGGCAAATGTCAAACAAAAATGAACCTGTTAGTAAAGTGAAGTGATTGTACATACTTCTATGTTTCAACATTCGAAGGCATCATTCGGAAAATGTCGCTCTTTTTGTGGAAAGAAAAGAGAGATATTATGAAAAAAATATAGAAGTATCAATATCACTCGGATTCAAGGCCAATCATGCTTTAACGAGGTCAAAATATATATGTCGGGAAATCAAGTAATTAGGAATAATAGCTAATTGGATGTAGGAAGTCAAGTGTTAAGTTCGAGATACAATTTTGTTAATCAAAGTAAAAGAATTTCTTTCTGGCGTCCTGATACCGTTCACATCACATTAATTTCATGATTACATTATATCATTATAAAGAGTATTAAATAGAATTATTTTAAAATTGTTTTCTCTATTTATCTTCTTCTATTATTATTTATTGTATTTAAACTTCAAAATGGAAATAATAATTTGTGTTTTATCAGGAAAGTCTCCATTAGTTTGCAAAACAAAAGTTGATAATATAACGTGGCTTATTGGCATTGATAAATAAAAGGAACGATAAAATAAATATATAATACTAATAATATTGCCTCTCTCTATCAGAATATACAGAAAATTTATGTCTTTTGCGTCTGTCACAGCGAATTTCATTTACGATTTAACGCAATCTGGTTTCCCTTCCCCATCTGGCCATTTCCAGTTCTCGAGAATTTTCTTCTTAATCTGACATCAGATTTATGGCAATCTTTCTAATGAGATTGCTAAATACATTACTAGATACAGATTCTTTAATAAATAGTTAGTAAAGATATATAATGTTAGATATATATCGCTAATTACTTAAATTTATAGAGCCAGGTTTTAAAGAATTCTTGCTCATCATAAATTTAACGAAATTACCGCCGCTGTTTCTATTAATAGATAACATATGCATGACACATACACACGTACATATATATTTGTTTAATTTGTTTGGCAATTTGGAGACGATTTTTCCTTAACAAATATGTTGATGGAAGATATTTATTATATTTGTTGAATTTTGAATATTTATATGATGTTCTTTTTAACGCTGATTTTCTTTTACGCGCATTCTCACGATATGTGGACAATATGTTGCGTGAAAGATATTACACAGATTTCATGTCCACAGAGAATTCGCACAAAGCGATATTCGTCGCTATTTAACCCGCCGCAGTATATGCTCATTATTTTAGCTCTGCATTTTTTTGCATATATACAAATTATTTTTGACGTGTAAATTTGCGTTTTCCATAAATTGCCTTTTTATAACATAATATTTATTTTTATTTTAATGTTTTTACTGTAGAAAGTAAATATTCTTGTTGTAAGTAAGGTAAATATTCTTACTAACAATAAGAAGTATAATACAAATTGAATTATGTAAAGAAACGACTTTTATTTGACATTTTAAAACTTTTAAAATTATGACAAATTGACTATAGATTTAATAAGGTATAAATTTACAAACTAAATTTATGAGATAAATTTGAGCAGGGGTAATTTATATCTATATATCATCATAAAATTTTAATTTAATTTTTATTAAGTCTGCCAGTCTAAGGTTAAAATAAGATGCAGGACCTTATTAGTAGAGATGCGCGAGCAAAAAAATGAAATTTCCTGCGCAATTTAGCACACTTATTTAACGCAGTTTTCGGTGCAAGTAAAAGAGCGAAATTTATTTCAGTGAAAAGTTCTATTCGTGGGAAAGAATGGTAATGCGCATTTTTTGACGACGGTAACGATGTTATCAGTTAAAAGCATTTTATGAGCTTTAGTCAGTTAATTTTCATTATCAACTTAATCAGATAACTGTGTAAACACACAGCGTCAAGGTAACAATTTAAATATAATACATTTTATTATATGATATAATACATTATATATATATAATAACATTTTATTATATAATACATTTTACGATAATATGACAATAATATATTCAAAATACAAGATATATAGGCAATATAATGTGTTTTTTGTTTGCTTTATAGCTTAAATTTTAATGATTTAAATCAACATTCTTTATTTAGTAGAAAGTTTTTTACTTATACATGTGTATGTATGTATATATATAGTATGTATGTGTATATTTATGTGTCGGTGCATATCTGGCAGTTTTTTCTAAAGAAATATTCTGCTTTCTCATGTTACATTTTGCAGCAATTATCGAAAAGAAAGAGCACTTAACGAAATTATTGTTTTATGCTATAAAGTGATTTAGTAGCTTTCAATTTTATCTTTTATGTTCTACTTTTATAATTGTGCTTTGTCGTATGTGAAAAGGGGGCCAAATATAAAGTTCAAAGTTAAGAGTTTCTTCGGAATAATCCCTTGGAGTAGTTTGTAAACTAGCTCAAAGAACAAGAAACCTATTTCGTACATTTGTCCTCATTCTCGAGTTAACGAGTTAATAAAATAAATTGATATACATTTTGATTTTCTTTATATATATATATATATATACTAATGATAATTAAATTTTCATGAAAGGAACAAAAAGCTTTTTAATGAAAAAGCGAAACATAATTTTTATTGATCGCGAGATACGAATGAAATGAACTGGAAATCAATGTGTTTAGAGCAAATGAGATAACAAATTTAAAAAATGACATGCAAAGTGAGGGATGTGCGTTACAGACAGGAAGAATCGTTAGCAGTAATCAAGCAGAATGACGTGAGATCCACGTTTAGAACTACATGGGACCGGTTGCATCAATGTCAGTTAGTGATAACAATGTCTCTGATAATGTCTCTACTAATGTCGGATTTCCGTTATACATGGTACCAGTTGAAATAACCAGCAGTATATTTAGTATTACGTTTATTGAATGAAACCGTAAGAAAAATAATCAAACAACTTCATATAAATATTAATTCCGAGACGTTTTGTTCACATGCGCTTTCGTTCACTTAGACTTTGAAAAGGAAGATTCTTATATTGAGAGCACGTGTCGTGTAGAACACCTTTATTTAGAATTTGTTTAGATGAATGTTATATGAAAATGGAATATAAAAGAAAAGAATTATACATATATTAGAACGAATTTTTATAATGCAATTTAATATTCGCACGCGGAGAAAGAGAATCACTGGCGTACAATTAGAGCGGATTTTAAGACTGATATTAGAATTTTCACGTACGATAAGCGCAATATAATGACAAAACACTCTTGCAGTTTAACTTAATTTTACGTTACATTAATGTTAGCATTTTGAATGTAGAAAAATAATCTAACCGGAAAATTGGTCAATTATAGTTATTTGAATGAAACTGCTAATGCTATTGATGCAACAGATCTGTAAACAAACACGGCTGTCGCGATATACGTATCATGCACACGTGGATGTCCGTCCTCCCATCCACGGTCCACGCGAGAGCGTGATCAAGAGCGGCACAATACGCAGATAGGATCTTCTCATCAGATGTTGCGATAAATTTACTTACTCGCTACATTAGATGAGAGTAGCGGCCTCCCAGAGAAGCTTTTCTCGTTTTCCGTTTCCTTCCCGCTTAATCGCACCAGGAAATTCTTTCCAACAGAGATAGCGTGTCCTTCGCCGAAGAACACTGATGGATTGAGAATTATCAACGAGATTAGCCCCGATATCCCTTTTTTCCTTGCGATCGAAAGCGTGACGCGTCGACAAGGATGCGAGTCGATCGAGATGCGAATGTTTATGATGTAATCATAATCCTGGTCGTAAAGTTGCTTGAGGCGAGAGTTTTCGCGGCATCGTATACTCGACGCGAGATTGCTACTCTACGCACGCATGATCACTAATTCCCTCTTGTCTCAGCTACCCTCTGCAAACGCTGTATGGCTCGAAAATAAAGTCGATAGAGATGGAAGTCGACAACGATCGACCGTCACCACCTGCGTCGCTCGGTCGACTGACTAGCTTGAACTGACTGAACTACCTCCCCGTAGACTCAGTGATTTTATTCCATCCCCACCAGAATATACCAGCCCTCTCTCGTGCCACGAATCTCACTCGTAACACCCACTCGCGATCCGGAGTCGATGCGGGTGCTCGGGGGTGCGTGAACATCGAGGGTGAAGACGAGCCGTCGTCGTTGACCATGTAATTGATAGTTGACCGTATCATCCAAAGATCAATTAAAGGTCTATTCTTCACGGTAAAAATAATTGTCTGAAAACAGCATAGTTGGCTTAATGTTATTAATATGTTATTAATAGACAAGATCTTGTCATCTGGAAATTTACAAGTTTTTTTTTTGTTAAAGTGCAATTATTTTACGGTACAATAATTTTGTTTTAAATTTATAATCGAGTTGTAATTTCAGATATTGATTAATATTGAATTATTTACGCGTGTGAGTTCGTATTTAATCAAATTTGTTTGAGAACAAAAACTATTATATGTTCATACGTTTACCTGATTTACAATTTTTTTGAAACACAGTTACCTTTTAGTAGGAAACGGAGAAAAAAAATATATACTCTTTGGAATACTGTTTATAGTGAAAAGTTTCGAGAGCTTTAAACCGCTCAATTACTTACACCAACTCTTTTATGTGACTAATGACTGTGCCTAATTTAAGTATTTGAAGTACTTAAAGACATTCTTATTATCTATAGAGAAAGGAGAGGACTTTCGTTTCTAACTTTGTTCAAGGTTGAGAGCCTCGTAATGTGCCAGCACTTGGAAAGTCTTATCTCTTTATCTTGAAAACTCTCAAATATTCTTATTAATCAGTCAAACTTTATTCGTTTTTTTTTTTTTTTTTTATTTTTTTTTTAAACCATTTTATTTTTTTTTTTTTAACTGTAACGATCGAATCAGCTTTATATATATTTAATAATTTAATAATTTAATTACGTTTCTAATGTGACTTTCAACGAACGATTATCCAAATTATATTTATAATATATAAAATTAATATACTCTATTTAAAAAAATACAATATGCTATGTGGTATATATATGATATATTGTAATTGATATAAAAATCGATTATATCGAAATTTTGAAAATAAGATGTTTAAATAAATTTTATGAAAATAAGATCTTTACGGAGAATATATAATTTAACTTTCCTATGTCATATGAAAAAATTTTCATGTCCGCGAATAGGCTCCCATCTTCAAGTTTAAGGTCGTGCGCGGAATAGCGACGTACTTACGTCATCAACATCGATTCGTGGACGTTCGTTGACCCACCTAATTCTAAAGCGATTGCGAGCATGTCACTTTCGTAAACTGACGGTCTTTAATTCGCTTGCTTGGCCTTCCGCGAATCGGAAGATCATACGTAACACACTTTACCTAAAATCTATCGTAATTATCATAAATATTAAAAAGAACTATCCTTAATGCTCTTCCAGTGATTGTCTTTTCGACTTTTCCCCAACATCCAAACTTTGATGATTGACTGGTTATAGAGTCCCTTTATAATGAAAGTCTATGCCATGCATTCCATTTTTTTTTTTTTTTTTTTTTTTTTTTTAATACAATCTATCGATCTTCATTTCGGGTTCGAAATAGCAGTGGAAGAATAATTGCGTTGCGCGGGTTATCCGCCACGACATTCTCTCCTTCTCTCTCTATTTTCCTCTGTTATAACTAATTAAAAAGTTCCACGAGCTGCACTAACGATTCATCACTTTTCAGTTGCGCTCAGCTTGGAAAAGTTTTGTTTGTGTACGACGTTGATCGGTGCAACTGCACGTTCTCAGTTTCTTGTAATAGTAGTTTGTAACAGTAATTACCATTTTAATAGTTATAATTAATGACATTTCGATATATTTGATGTAATGACATTGTTATAACTGTTGGGAAACTAAAATTTCCAACAGTTAAAACAATCGATTCAATAAAGCTAATCTTTCTGGGTAGATTTTGAATTATAATAAACTTTTGAATTTTGAATTATAATAAACTATCTTTTTATGCGTATATAATTATTAAATTTTCTAAATTACTACTCATTGTCATTTTCGTTTTTAGTCGTAAATTATAGACTAGAAATATGAGATGTTGATACATTATCTTTAATCGCTCAAAGCTATGCGCTGTTATTAATGATAATCAAGAACTTCCGGTAGCCTTTATTGACAATGAAATGTAAATGACTACGTAGATTGTAGACGATAAAACTTTGTTTTAAATGAACGATAATCTTTACAAGAGGACTATATATATGCAGAAAATAACTATAGTTTGAGCTACATTAAAAATTTCTAGGAAGATCCTTCAAATGCATGTATCGTAAATTACATTCTAAATGTATTCTTTAAATCCAACATCGCTACACTTATGATTTAATTACGTAAGAACGTAATAAATTTTATTACATGATAAATTCTGGAACTTAACAACGTAAATACCAGGTTTTAGATGCACAATTAACGTTAATATTAATATAATATGTAACATATAATAGATAACATTAATATAATACGTATTGTGGTGTACTGTACGCTATGCAAAATAATTAATTTTCAAGTGCAGATTAATCAATTCGTTATAAATATGTTGTATCAATATTCGGAACATTATGCTTGAATATTTGAATACGAAAGAGAGTTTCATAATTTATAGTATAGTAGTAACGAGTCAATATATAAAATCGTGACACAACAAACTGTTGACATGCAGCATTAATCTATAAACGACACACTGTATGTTGCAAACTGCGTCGTCCATATTCTCATCGATCATTGCTTATACATGTGATGTAGCTTATAACACAAGCCTGCATGGGCGCAGCGCATTATTGCCTATTTATCAAAAGCTACTTCTCCTTAGAATTGAATTAAACAGTAAACAGATTTAATTTTAACTCAAAATGGCGAATACACATGATTAACGAAATAAAACAGATCGAATTTTAATTCGTTTGAAACAAATTTCCTCTTTTGCAATTTATTCTCGATTTCTATTTATGCTCGTAGAGTGTTTTTTAAAAATTATGGTAATCCTAAAATACAAAATAAAAACGAAAACTTTTTAGAATTACATTACAAGTGAAAGAAAGAAATAGGGAGGAAGAAATATATACAGAAAAGTTAATATATAAAACATTCGCAAATAAAACAAAAAATTGTAAAAATTTTGTTTCATAATAATCAAAAATAACAAAAATTAAACTTATATTACAGTTCTTGAAAATCGGTTTAGATTGGAATTATTCTTTTATCAATCACGTTACATATACGAATATATTTCATACACACACGGCGCGCATCGTCTTCCCGCGCGACGATAATACCGGAGATAACCGCGCATATAAATCAGTCATCAGTTTTTAATAAACCTCGTCTACGGAGATGTCGGCACGCGATCGCTCGAGTAACAGGCGATATTTCAACCCGGTCGTATTACGGTTAGCAAAATTGCGCCGGGACACGAAGAGTACACCAGTCGTGTCGGGGGCCATCGACTGCGGGCATCTATTACAGCAGGGGCTCGCAAGATCGGATCTCAATTCGGTAGAAATGAAATTCTTCACGGCCGAGGCTTTTTGCGCGGCATCCACTACTCAGTAAAGACCGAACTGGATCGTGGCCGTCGCTCTTTGAATTTGCGAGATACCGGATATCTTATGCATTTCCAATAATGCATCGTGAACCCCCGCTATGCATTGCCGCGCATTTTACGCGCAGCTAATAATTTATTTTTTTCCTTTCTCTCTCTCTTTTTCTCGTCGAGATATGTCTCTGGTAAATCGAGAATCACGTCTTATTAAAAATTCGAGATACTAGCCGTCGGGTTATATCGTTGGAAAAAATGCACGAAAAATGCCATTATATTGCGGACGCTGCATCGTAATATACGAAGAAAAGGAAACTATAATAATTTTCATCCCGCCGTGTTCTATGTTTGTTCTCATCATTTATAAAACTTATTTTATTGCGTAGATTATATATATATATATATGTAGTAAAGTGAGTTTGACAAATTTAAACGTGTGTGTATGAAAAATGATATAAATATAAATCTGCAAAAAATCAGACTAAATTTAAGTTTATATAATTTATTTAATATTAATTTATGAATTTTTTTCAAGCTTGATTCGTCAAAATCTTTTTGTTTATAATAATTTACAATGAAAAAGCTTCTGATGTCTTTTGATATTGAAAGCTTTTTATACATAGCGTTTTTTACCTTAATCATTTCATAAACACGACTTGACAAATTTTGAAAAATTCTCGGAACAATCCTTTAGTGAAAAAGTTATGCACCAAGTCCCCTATTTCACGTGCTGACGCGATTCTCATTCTTTGTTTATTCATACACATTTGAATAAACGATACTTCAGCTCGTCCTACTTTCGCCTGTAAGCTGTCGGATAATCCGTCAAGAGGCTGCCAGTGGAGACTATGGCTCCGGGTCCGCCGAGAATGCCGCCCTTGTTGGCGAACCAGCCGTTACCGCCTAGGAAACCAGCCGGTTCTAACCGATTTGTGTAGAAACCGGAGTCATTTGGGCCCACGAAGTGCACCAGACCGCCGGGGTTAAGTAATTGCTTCGCTGTCGCGTTTGGTAGCACGTTGATGCCCAGATTATTCAGCGTTTCTTTCAACAGCGTTAGGCGATCTTGTAGGAACGATTGTGGTGAGAACTGGATCTTTTGCGTCAGCGGCGTTAAGAACCAGGAAAGCGGGCCCGGTTTTACAAGAGATGTTGTCGTTACCTTGTCAAACATGTCGAGAAAATTGATTGCATTTTATATCGAGTGAATTTTGATGGACTTTTATGACGTTTCA